ATATGCAGTTCCTTTTATTTTTCCTGACAAATCAGAGGTCTCCTTTGGCAGAAACCAACGCATATGGTGTCTTTTTTATTTTGACATCTGGGCATTGCATTCTGCATAACAAAGAAAGTTTTGGATTGGAACCCACAGGGTAAGAGATCAAGGGGAAGACCACGTGGAACCTGGAGAAGAATGACAGAAATCGATGTACAGAAAAGTGGGAAGACATGGAATAACATCAAGAGGCTAGCCCAGGATAGAGAAAGGTGAAAGGTGTTTGTCTGTGGCCCATAGAGTTACCCCCTTTTAAACTAGAGTCGGTACGAGGTCACGTGACACAGAAACTTTTGAGTTTGTTGGCGGCCAATTTTAATGCGGCTAAAAAGTTTGTTTACATGTGAGTGGGCGTGTCTCTGCTCTTACGTGTTTTATTTGATTCTAACGTGTGTTTTAATCCAAAGTGATTCTCTTAAAGGAGCAAGCATGTGAAAACTCTAGTCCCTTTCTGGATTAACGTCTGATAGGTTCCAATCGAGTTCGAGTATACATTATAGGCTATATACACAGCTGCTTGGAGCTGTGATTAGAAAGCACAGCTGAGTATGAATTATCTCTAGATCTAGACCTATATGTAGATTTTCTAGATCTAGATTTGATACATCTAGACCAGGAAAAGCACGAGTGACGACCTAAATACGGCAAGACAAGACAATTTAAATCAATGAACCAATATTTGACGTACAACTGTACCCTGGTTTCTAACACAGATAGTTCTGTTTTCACTATATGTAATGTTGAAGCCCAGGACAGTCCTACATACTTTTGCAATGGGAATGGGAGTAAGAAAAAAAAAAAAAGCATCACTTTTGAAACTAAACTTAAAATGGATGCCAAAAAAAGGGGGAATAAAAATCAATCTTTCATCGGCTCAAACTCATAGAATTATAGACATGATGACAAAAAACGCTCACGTTTGCGAGACTTCTTCATTGAAACCTTGGATTTGGCTAAAAGAACATCAGACCCAAACCAATATATGCTGGATACTTGGTGTGCTGTAATCAACTGCTCATGACCTGAAACTGAAATAGAGTCATCTTTTAAAAGCTGAAAAAAAAGAAGATAAGCAACTAATGATCTTACCACAGACAGGAAAGGCTTGTTCAAGATATCGATGTTTTCTCGCTCGAAGACCATCAGTTCCGCTGCTTTCCGCTTTGCACTGATGCTGATGGGGGTGACAACTCGATTCTTCCTGTAATTTATTTTAAAAAACAAAACAAAAGCAGGATTGGTCAAAATAAACTTACAAAAAAGCCTTTAAAAAAAGGTATCTTTTCTTTTTTAGGTAAGTGTTTTACAGCGCTCGCAACTGCATATAAGGCTAAGGTCATATGAGTGCGCCGGACACATTAAACATTTTCAGTTGGAGGGAAATTTTGAATTTTGCCTGGGTGGCGGCCAAAGCCTACTCTTATCGATTTTGGACCACCAAGGGATCTTTAACATGTGCAACTAGATCTTGCACACGGGACCTCCAAGATTTTTCGCCCTTGTCCGAGAAGGCTAGGTATAGATCTTTTCTACCCGAAGATCAGGGGTGTGACTGAAAAACAGCTGTAAGAAGAAGCCACGCAGCAGCAGTGGAAAAGGCGCAGAAAGAGTCAGAAGCCCAGATGAGGGGGCAAGGGAGGTGAGAGGTGGGGGCAGAAAGTGGAGACGAAAGCAGATGACAGAATATTGCTAGAGAAAGCAAGAAAGGAGTTGGAAAGGAGACTATTTTAGAGAAGAAATTTTTTTTGTCGCCACCTGATTCGAGCGCGGGACCTTGATTTGAGAGGCGAACACCTTTTAACCTTTAGGCCACCAGAGCCCTCAGCGTGGCTATTCTCACCCGGTGAGAAACAAGACCTGTTTTTCCTAATTTCAGAATACTGTCGGTATTTTTTTACTTTCCCTCCCGTCTCACACTCAGCTACCAGTTGTCTATTTTCTACTAAATATTGATGCGCAGAACACGAATATCAACTTCATTTCCGTCGCAAATTAATAGTATTTGAAATATTTGATTGTTTTTAACCGAGATAGACGTGCTTTAGACCAATCAGGGGGTTCCAGGGGGGAATGCCCCACTGGGGTAAAAGAAAATCTGGGGGGTTACAGGGGGGCATGCCCCCTCTGTTTTTACCCATAATTTGATATTTTACAGTTAGATTTGAAATTGTCTTGAAAATAATTGATTTGCGACAGTTTTAGTGGCTTTATGTGTGATCTGCAGCAAACAGTACTGCAGTTTGACCCCTGAAACAGTGCATCTGTGTGCGGGAGTGAAAGTAAAAATCTACCATACTGTCTATAGGTGTGGATGATCAAATTGACAAAAACAAATTTAAAAAATTATGTTATCTGTTATAATAATTAAACAGTTATAAATAGCACAAAAAGAAACGAGAATCTAGACTTATTTTGTCGTAAAGATGCTACGGCTGTTTCACTTTTTGAATCGAGCCGAACTACATCGGTCGCCATTTTGTTTTGCCTGGAAGTTCTCCATACTCCTCTCTTCCACACCCCCCCCCCTCCCACCTCTCTCTCATTACATTTTATTTTCACCCCGAGTGAGAATAACGACATCCTATCTCTAGAAATCTAGAATCTAGAGATAGATCTAGCTAGATCTCGCCGTGTTAGTTTTTTTTTTGTATACACCAATTTGTGTTATCTTTAATAAACAATCTCGTTCCATAAAGTCACCTTCTCCTCAAAGTGTAGGCATAACATTTCACATGGTGCATAGATACAAGGATACATTTATTTTTGTGATGATTTTAAGGGGGAGGGGGGGGGGCTGCACAATCATGTGTTCAGCCCCCCTCCTATAGATCTAGACTATGTCTCCTTCAAGGAGTTCCACGAGAAAGAATAAAAAGAGGAGGCGGCAAAGAAAAGGGCACAGGAAGAAGGGAAGGCAGAGAGATAATGAGGAAGAGGGAGGAAAAGATGAAGATGGAAGAAAAGGAAAGGAAGCGCCTGGAGCCTGGAGAGAGGACAAAATAAAGCCGAAATCATGGAAGAGTAGTTCTAGAATCTAGAGGAAGGAGGCAGCAATGAAAGGGAAGGGCAATAACACCTCACCCGTATCGAAGTAATCCTGGCACCCTACGGTATCGAATGTAAAACTGGAGCGCTTGTGTCAATCTCATTCTGCTGTTAAAACCCTTGACAAGGGCACACCAACAACGTCTCAGAAGATCGAAAGTAGGCCTGCAATTCTCATTCCCTCATCAAAACGGAAGGAAGTTGATGAAACCGGAAAATGCGGGCCAGAATGAACTTGACCTCTATGTTTGCATTAGAAAACGAAAGTGCAGGCAAAACAAAACAACAATATCGTCTTTTCTCGCGAGATCTTAATCAATCAAAATGGCAGTAGATCGATAAGCTCGTTCTGATGGAGCCAGCTCCAGAGATTGGAGAGTGATGGGTTTCATCGACTTTTCAAGTTGAAGTGGTGGATGTAAAATTATGATATTGATATTTATGCGCCAGTTTTTATCAGGTCATAGGTATATTTCAGTTGAAAGGATATATTTGGTTTGACCATTGACAGTCCACACAAGAGTAAGAGGTCTGGACGTCGTTTTTGTTGTCAGTCATCATAGCCAAAGCTGAGAAGTCAGAGAAGCTGACAAGATAGAGGACCTAAATCTAGAATCTACCTTCTGGACCGCCCTTGGCTTACGGCTATTTGTTTATCTAGATTTCTAGGCTTAAATTCTCTAATTCAATGACTGGTGGCGGTGGTGTATCTTTGCCAGCCAGAGCCTCTAGATCTTAGACTTCAGAGAAGTTTAGTGACTTTACACACCACATCACTTCTTGTGGTGATGGTGCCAGTGCCTGTATAATTATTCAGCCAGGAATAGGAGGAAGATGTTCTCTACAGTGTAGATCTAGATCTAGATACAGGAGTTTAAATTCTGAATTTTAAAAATCACACCAATGCACATGCAATAGTTGGGCTTTCCTGCTTGCAAAATGACTGATGACTCGACTCTTGAGCAAAGATAGAAAGGCTTTTGAGTTGATTTTTTATGGACTGGGCTGTTGTGTGTATAGATCTAGTGTATCTTTAGTCAAGCCGTTTGATCTCTCTTCCCCAGTCCTACTGCAACAATCTGAGTGCATGAACATGAGACGATGTTTTTTGTTTCGTCCAATCAACTCACAGGGGGTTTCAGAATTGCAGCCTCACTCCTTTTTTTATGATACGTATACGATCATACGGTGTCGGTGAGGAGATGGAAAGTTCCTGTTACTGTTTGTTGTCATTGTGCTTGGCAGAGGGATTTCTGTGGCTGACACTGGTCCAGTCAGCTTTTACGTCTCAAGTGAACTGAGCTACCACAAAGTGTGTGGATTAGATTTAAAAGTTTCTGTAGCTTTCAAATTAACCATGGCAGCGAAATTGTTGTGTTCGAGACTCAAGTTGTTGGCAAGTTTATTCATCATGTCGAGTGTTGTCTTCAGAGGTCTCTGTAAAACGGTGGGGAATGACAGTACTTCAACATCACTTTTGGACTCGGATATTTTTGAAACAGGACCGACCAAAACAGATGTGATGCCGAATGATCAAGGACCCCAAAGTAATGGTAAGAAAGATACATTTTTGGTCGGCGCTATTTGAAACGCCGCATTCTGAATAGCCTCCGTGCTAATCAAAATGCCAAGTTCTGATGAGCCCCGTGCTATTTGAGTACTGTCTGGGTAATCCGCCCCCTTTACCGATTTTGGCCCACATCTTTTGGCAGCTCAACTAATCCACAGTTACTGAAGCGCCATATATACCTATATATATATGATAATGTATGTTTTTTCTTCCTTCAGTGCATTTCTCATAATATGCCTGATTTCTTTCTAGTTGATAGCCAAACTATTTACTAAGTTGTCTGGGTTATCCACCCAGGGTCTGGTCTTATTATTATGCCCACACTAGTCCACACTGATCTCGC